TTTAAGTTTTTAAAAAATAGCAACCGAAGAGGCATGCACTCTCAATAAATTATATAATCATAGTTATTAGTTGCACTCTTATACGACTATGAATAAGTACATGTTTTCTTGATTTTTTGTTTTATATTTAAATTAATTATATATATATAGATAAATTTCATTTTGATATTGTAGATATTGAGATAAAATTTTAATTAAAATAATTTAAAAATATTCTTAAATTTTATGTAAATAAATAAAATATAATAAAAATGTATAGAATATAAATAAAAAAACATCATGTATAAAATATGATTTGACTCTTTCTAATTTTTATTTAATTATACAAGGTTAGGGACTCCTGATTTTCTCTTGAAAACAGGGACTCCAAAAAGGATATTCCAATAATCATAGTTATTATTTCTATTATCTTGCAAATTAGAATGATGTTAACAATTAAGATCAAAACTAAAGAATTTCCTTCGTTGATTATGGTGGATAAACTAATCCTAAAATTCATTAGTATAATAATAATCCTTCGAATAATAGAAGGTAGAATATACATTTAGATCAGATATTATGAAGAGACCGTGCCTCTTTTCTTTGTTTCTTCATTTGTACTAAGTTTTCCAAGCCACACCTCTCATAAAAAAAAATTTGATTTTTGGAGCCCCTCCAACTTACAAACTAATTTAAAAGTTCCATCACATACAAGATTAGAGTTGTGAATTTCATAGATAAATTCATAAGCTGATTTAAGATTAAAACTGCCGTTAGTGTAATGAGACCAAGACACAGAATCAGGCCGATTTTCAATAATATTATCACACACGAATTTGTACACTTTTTATTCGATACTAACGAGTTGGATCTAAATTCATGAACCTACTGTTTTTATGGTCAATACGGCAAAGTCGTAGTTGTTTTTTGGACAGTCTATTGGGGGGACTCCACTCTTGACCATATATAGCAGCTATTACATGCTCTTTGAACTTTGATGGGATTCATGAGTTTATATCTACAAAAATTGTCACGTCTGGTTAGCGTTGGCGGTTCTGAGGGGCAAGGGTGACGAATAACGAAGGCTTCATCCATTGAATCGATGTGGACTTGAAACCATTGAATTAAAATGAGAAAAGGGTCATAATCCAATCGGTGGTGGGCACAGATAAGATTATGTAAAAGCATCATATTTTTTTTTTCTCCCCAATTAAACATTCCATTGTGATGCCTACCTGCACAATATCATCTTGTGGTGGCAGTTTTATTGCCATTCAAATATCACCACGTCATGAATTGTACCCAAGTCAACCTTCTTATCCTCACACATCCTTCTTGTCCGTACCAATCCACCCCATTCTAAGTAGCAAGATGCTTTTTATCCAACATTTTGTAATCAAATATCAATGTTTGTGATATAAAATCAATTCTTGTTAAATGTTAAAAAAAGTATATGTAAAGTGGTACAGCTATGTATGTGAATCAGGATTCTAAATACTTCAAATCTTTTGGTTGAATCTATAAACTTTGACATTTATTTATATATATGTTCAGCAATAATCAGTATACTAGTTATGGAGAATGGATCATTACATTGTTAATAATACCTGTGATAACCTGATTTGATAAGCAAGGTTGAATGATTATTATTTAAGTGAGGGGGGAAACGTTCAACCAATTGGAAAATGCCAATTCCTTCCACGAGTTTTGCGGGTCGTAAAACACGTGGATTGAATAGTTTGTTAAGAAAATTGAATAAAAGGAATTTGAAGCGTGCGACCGATGAAGCAAAACCCTCCTCCCCATGAAAAGGGAATTGGTTAATTCAACATAAAAAAGTTTGTATCGAAGGTCAATGCATTCCGTGTCTAAGCGTAATGGAGAACAAGGGGAAGACAAAAATATTGGTATATACAGGGCAGGATTAAAAAGCTAATATCAAAGAGTTTTTAAATTTAAATTTATATAATCATTAGATTTAAGTTAAGATTGGATATAAATTTTTTTAAATTTACACTTGACTGATAAATTTAAATTAAATAAAATATTTAAATTAAATATAATAGTTTTTAGACTTACACTAAAAATTCATATATATATATATATATACTTGCTAGATAATATTATTTGTTATTTTAAATTTTAATATATATTTTTAAAAAAATCTTAAAATTTACAATGAAGATCGTTAATTGATGTTCTTTATCACGTAAACAACATTAATCGCAAATGGTGCAGGTACACCGGTCTTCCCATATAAATTTAAATTATATAATTTTTAAATTTAGATTTAAAGATACAAAGTAAAATAATATAATTTATTAATAATATTAAATACTATAATTTTTAATAAATATTTTTATTGTATACTGAAGATGTACAGTAAAAATTATCAATATTTTTTTATTTTAAAATTTAATATCAATTATTTTCATTTCTACATTATTTAAGTGTTCTCACCTAAATAATTATTTTTATTATATATGTGGTTGTGACGGTAAGATGACTAAGAACACAAACTCTACTTAATTTTTAACTCAACTGCGTAGTTGTTGTTGGTGGTGGCAGAGGCAAATCCTATATCGTGAGTCATGTTCCGGCCTCACCGTTTGAACCATTATTGTTGGTTGAGAGGTGGAACTGCTGATGATCAACTTTCTTGAAACTAAATGCTCACGGATAATATTTTTAAGAAAAAACCCATCATATTAAAATTAGGATTTTGCAAATGTTAAGAAAAATTATTAAAATTTTTAGTAGGAATATATTAAAAATTATGATAAATAAATATATATATATATATATATATAATTTTTTTCCTCTTAAACCAGTACTTAGGAAGATTCTAATTAGTATTTGTTGAAGAAGAAAATAAAATGAAAGCAAAAAAAAAAGGAGAAAGTGAAGGGAAATTTGGATATAAGGAGTAACTAATAAAGGAAGCTGGGATGCACAAAAAAGAGGTTTTTCATGGACTGGAATTCTCTTCCGTTTTGGTGTGAACTGGACAGTGCAGTCAAGCAAAATTTTGCATTTTTGTTTAAGCGAAATTTTTTAGTTTAAGCAAAAATGCAAAATCAACATGACAGGACATTAAGTTACGGGAGAAAATTCGGATCGATTTCCCATATTAAGAAATTAAGGACGGAGAGATGATAGTTCTTTTGTTATCTTTTATCTTTAATTTTAAATAAACTTTGATTATATTTTTAACAGGACAAAGTTGATGAGTAAAAAATATTTATACAAAATTTATATTTATCTCATAAATAAATAAAAAGAGTTCAAATCTTTGAGTAATCTTAATAGGTAAGTGAGGAATACAGATAAAAAAGTAAAAAATGAAAGTTGTGATAAGAAAAATAATAATTTTTAAAATTTTTAAATAATTTATGTATCATCTAGAAATATATAAATAAAATTACTTTTTTATTAATAAAAAATATTTTTAAAAAATTTAAAATTATCATAAATCAAACTTCTCTTAATTAATTGTAGATGTTTTGAAGAGAAATGAAAAATTTTGAAATTATAATTTGTGTTCAAAATAAAAATCTTAATTTGTTGAAGATATGTATGAAGTATTTTCGTTACAAGATATAAAATAAATAATGTATTGCATCTCTTTAAAAAATATATGATTATAATTTTATTTAATAATCTACGTGTTTATTTCGATTAAGCATGGTCATGGAAAAAATATGGCTTTTAGTTTAAATAAAGAAATGTTGTGATCAAAAGAAAAACATTTCTTGGTGGAAGAGGTGATGTTTTAATAATGAGAAATCTAATAGATGAAGTTATAGGTTAAAAAAAATGTTAAAAGTTAATTAAAGGAAGATATTTTTAAGCTGTTTTTAGTGGCATTGTCATTGGTAGCATACAAAATCAATAATTAGTTGAAGATTACTTTATTGAAAAAAACAAACTAAGTTATTTTTTTTAAAGAATCTCAAATTCAAAAGTTTTAAAGAAGATAGAAAATTCATGTCAAAAACTTAAAATGTCAAGAACGATTATGAACAATTATAAACTGAAGACACATAATAAAAATCATGAATGGAACGTAATAATAATTAAAAAAAAGATTTTAGATAATTACTTTAGATAAAATGTTTTAAATAATTATATTGTATTACATATATATAATTAGTATTTCATTTTATATTTAAGAAATTACGACTTTTACATACAAATATTTACATTCAAAATTTCTATATTACTAAAGTTCCACGTGAGTTAAACTTGACATTGTTAAAATTTTGTACGTTCATTTATTGCATTTTAATTTCAATTCTAATTACTTACTTCAATCTTTAATATTTTACTTTTATGATTATTTTATAATTCTTCATTTTCTGTTATTACTCTATAATTTCAATTATTTACTTCAATTTTTACAGTTATTTTATACTTTTACGATTATCACACCTATCTCTGTTAAAAAAATCTAAAATTTAATTTCAGATTATTTTTTAATTTGTTTATTTATTAAAAACTCACCATAAATCAGAGAATTATAATATTTTACTAAAAAATTGCACAAAATTTTTATACAAATAATATTTCTGATTTCTATACACATGTGATAGGAAACATTTTGTAAATGCACTTTTTACCATAAAAAGATTAACGAAACCCCTTCATTTTTGCTTGTGCTTTTTGGCTTAATTTTATACATGGATGTGATAAACGATGCATTAAAAGGTGGGAATATACCTATCTGTCGTGCCTTTATGAAGCAAAGTTGGCGAGACAGGGGACCACAGTTTCACACGCCAAAAATGAAAAAGAAGTTAACGGGGTGACTCAGGATATGGATGTCTTCAAATTTAGTCCTTATCCTCTCTCTCTATCCTGGCAGTGTTAGAGAAGCGAAGTTTACACCATATAACGTGATCTGACAATGACAAAAATTTAGGATTTAATATATTATATTTTATATACTTTTAAAACAATAATGCTATCCAGTTCTTCATTGGCATTCCTATATATAAGACCACCCAGTCTATATTATATCTGTTAAACATAACTGCTCCAATCACTGCATATCATATGCAATTAAATCCGTGGGATTATACAGATAAGCTCACTCAATGAAGGCTTAATATTCTACTTCAAAAAGAAGAGCAGATATCCTCATCATTTTTGGCTTCTACTTTACACATAACTGGCAAGAAGGCAAAGCAATCTTTCTACAAATGAATGTGAAGGGAATCATGGATGCTAATGGGGCAGGAAACACCAATTGGGTTGTTAAGGAAGATGTCAATGATTATGTCAGCGATTCAATATCCATTGGATCTATCTCAGAAGATTCAATGAATTCTGTGTGTTCATCTTCTTCATCAGAATTGACTGAGGAGGTATCCTCTTCAACATCTTATTTGTCAATCTCATCTTCATCAACACACTCAAACGGCCCTTTATATGAACTATCAGAGCTCATGAACCATCTCCCTCTAAAGTAAGCAATTTCTTGCATGGTGCATACCCTTTTTTTCCTTGAACTTTTATTCAATTTCCTCCATTGGAAATATTATAAATTAGTGTATTTTGGTGAGTTAAATATAGTTTATCACATGTGCAGGAGAGGCTTGTCTATGTTTTATCAAGGGAAGGCTCAATCTTTCAGCTCTTTAGCTAGGGTGCAGAGTATAGAAGATCTTCCTAAGAAAGAGAGACCTTACAGGAAGAAAATGAAATCATGCAAAAGCTACGGTGGAGGCTTGGATAGCCACAGAATGTTATTCCCTCCAAAGGCTACAATATCAAAGAAAGCTTCAAGAGGTCCTTTTGTGTCTGTACTAACTAAAAGAGGGAGTTTCCTTGGAGGGTCTAGACCTTCTCTTGCTGTACACAAGAACTTTTGAAATCCAACCTTGTTAGAGCTTGTTTATTTCAATGCACAAAATGAGGAAAATTTTGAATCCCTCATCTTTAGCTTCTGAGATAAAGTCATATTATTAATTAAGCACAATACATATGATTCATTAGTATCATTTCAACTTTGTTTCCAAAATTCAAGGTGATAGGATTATGACCTGTGTTTCATTATTACCTGTATATGATTGTTAATTAGCACATGTATGCGAGGGAGTATTAGGCAATCATGGTTCGTTATAATTGACAGACAATTGGAATAATATATGAAGTACTTAATTAGGTGGAAAATTAGTTTAGCCCATGAGCCCATGATCAGATCAGGCAAGTATATATAAAAGAATTATTTGAGCTTACACATAAGAATCAATATATTCAAGGTTTTATAATTATTTGGACTTATCACTTGCAAATATATCTCATCATAAAACTGAAGCAAAAACTTCAAATTAGTATAGCAAATTACCATAATAACCAGCTAAGCTGATAACTAATTGATCAGCAGCAATGCAAAAATATTAACTTGTTTTTTTGTGACTCCGTAAATTAAGCTTAATTCTGAAAAGAGATTAATTGTCATCCAAAGATGTACATAGCTTTAGTAGAGGAAATCTCTTATTTAATTTTTACTTCTCCTTGCCAAGGCAAAATTATCGTAACTTCTTTAAGCACTCATTTGGCTATTAAATTGGAATATTTTTTTTTAATTTTAAATCTGTCAAAAAAGAAATTAATTGAAAGTCGTAATTCATATATTAAAATTATGCAAAAATATTAGAATATAAAATCATTTGAAGTTAAATACTAAATTTATTTTCATACCTCTAAAGATAATCACAAGTGAGATTGAGTCAACTTTGATAAATTAATGAACAGGGGGTGGCAAGCAATAGCAAAGCAATAAGGGAGGATGATACTAGCCGTGTTGGGCGAGAGGCAATGGTGATAACAACAAGGATTGAGTAAAGGTCATTAGATAGAAGTGACTTATTGTCAGAGAATAAAGTATTTACAATAAAAAAAATAACTCAAAATTTAATACAGTTTAGCGTCTTTTGCTTATATCTATTATTTTATATGCAAAAATTATAAATTATCCTATTACATACTATTATTTAAATTCTTAATATATTGTAAGAATTCAATAGTTTTTGAAATAAATTCTTATATTTAGAATATTTTTTTTAACTTATTGATATAAAATTTAAATAAATAATTTATTTTATCTCACTAAAATAGTGAAAGTGCAATGGTCACTGACGATAAGAGTATCACTGATATAAATGATATTGTCAATCAATCCCTACTACACTAATGATAAAAGTGACATCAGTAGCACAGTGATTGCAAGAATGACAAAATGTAAGAATAAAGTTGTATACAAGTAGAAAATAGTTTTAAAATGGCAATCTAAGAGATAAACGTTTTAAAAAATATAATTTTAATTATATTAAAATTTCACAATTTCAACATTGGAATTGAAATTTCAGTTATAAAGAGTATGAAACATACAATTGCTCATGTATATGATTTTAATTTTGTATCTTAATTTTATAATTTTTTAATCTAGACAGAGTTTTTTTAAGTTCAGTCAATCTTTTTCGAATAAGACTCTTTTTTATATATATAATTTTTTTAAATTATCAAAATGTGAGATTTTTTTATAAAATTACAGAAATATGGATTTTTTTCAAAAATAATCATAGCGACTTTTTACTATTTTTTATACAATTATAAACTTTTAACTATAAATCTATAACTTTTAATTACAATTAGAAATTACATGTTAACAACTTTTAGTTTATTTTAACAAACATATCTTTAGTGTTGAATTAATTAGTTCCAAAAAATTATATAAAATATATTTATTTATTTTCTAATGTTAAAATCGAGTGCATAATCACTTTAATCAATTATAACTTGAATTACTCTATGTAAAATAATTTAGAGATAGAGTTTGATATAATATGTACTAGCATCGATAACTTTAATCAAATTTAAGTGTAGTTAATTAAATAATATCCTAATTAACTTGTAAAAAAATAATATATTAATTTTACAAATAATAAAATAATTTTTACCAATAAATAAGTTCATGTAATACATAAATATTTTGACAAATAATAAAAAATTTGAATCTTACGTATATTAAAAGAATCAGCTAAGAGCGTTATAAACTGCATCATGGAATATCATTATAGTTTGAAAATTTCAGTATTTTAAACTTAATAAAATTTATAAATTTAAAATTAAATATCTATACTGTAATTATGAAAAATATAAAATCTTAAAATTAAAATAAAATTATTAAATTTAAAATTTAAAACACTTAAATACTCAATGTAAGAGAATGTGTAATAGGAGAAAATAACTCTCCAAATTAATTTGGTTAAGAAAAGAGACTCAAATTATATATATATATATATTGATATAAAAAACTTTAGCTTTTATTTCAATGTGATTCTTTAGCATATATTAGTAATTTTCAAGTTATCATATATATTTTTTTTATAGTCAAAGTCTATCTCAATTGAAAGATGTCACAATTGTCAACAATAAAAATGATCGCAGGTAAGAAAAATAATAAATAGGATAATTATAAAAGACCAAATAAAAATTTTTAAAAATAGACTAACACCAAAATAAAATGAAAAAAAAAAGTATATTTTTTTTTCTAAAATTAATAATTGAATCAATCATTTCTGCTTGATATCAGACATTTACACTGTAGTAAAAATATACATGAAATTCAATTTATGCATATTTTTTGTTAAAATACATTATGGAATTAAAAAGAATCATCTTAATTTGATTTATTGCCATAATATATTAATTATTAATTAATGTTATATAGTTAAATTATTAAGTTAAAATATTTAATAATACATATATATATATAACAATATTAATATGAATTAAAAAAATATTATGCAGTACATTATTTATTAAATTAAGAGATATTATATAATTGTTAAAAAATGTATAAATTTAAAGGAAAATGATATACGCCAAATTTGAAATGAACTGATCCTGACGTATAAGCAATGCCCATATTTAAAACTTATTGGTTATAGTTTTTAGAATTCAAACCCGTCAAATCGGATGAGTGAGTGGCATAAAATGGATTATGAATACTCCTATATTATGAAAATTTTTAATTTAAAATCCTTATTTTGATAAAAAATACACACTTCAGATTAATTTATCTACATATTTTAATTGCATTTAACAGTATAAAATCAATTAATTTTTTTAACTTTAATATTTAAAATTACATTCAAGCGTCTAAAAGTATTTATCATAACTTTACATCTTGAATGTAATAAAAATTTACAATTTTTAAATTATTAAACTAATTAAGCTCTTAAAATTAAAATTAATATGATTCAGTTTTAAACTAAATACCCCTTAGAAGCAATTGTATCTAAGAATTCCCAGCGTCTGGAATACCTATCTGACAATTTATACTTATCCCATGAGTTGGCTTCAATTATCCAAATTAAATTCTGGACTTTTTTTTTATATTGCGCTTATTTTTATTTTAAAAGAAAAACAAAGATAATTTCCCACGTCGTATTCATATGGCAATCAAATTGCAAGGTTGCTTCACGTCCTATGTTTATGTGTGGGGGGTGAAGACAAAAGGAAAACAAATAATACATGGACGAAGAAACAAACAAACAAAGCATCACAGACTTAGCTCATAAGTTGTATTATAATTTAGAATGACCAAAAATTGAAATTTATTCGATTTATTCTTGATAGAAATGCATTTACGAACACTTTAATTATGTGATATTCATTAAAATTATATTGCATACAAATTTATGTCGTGAGCATTTAATATCGGGAAACTTATTTTAAAAAATTATCTTAAAGTTTATCAAAATAACATATGTACGCAACTAGTTCTTCACATTCATTTCAAAATGTTACTCTCGGAATATTCCTTTTTATTTGTTTTCTCCAAGGGAAAGCTGCAATTAGCACTTCTATTAATGTACTGACTTTTTTAACACCGCCAAAACGAGTTCAAAGTTGCTGGAAGCATTTTTTTAACACTATCACTGCACTTAGCACTCTTTTTTAAATTGATTTTTTTTATCAAATTAGCTGAAAGCTTTAAATTAAATGTTTAAAAGTTTATAATTGTATAAATAATTTATAAAATTATTGTTTGACAAACTAATATATATATACATATATATATATATATATATAGTTAATTTGTTTAAAATGATTTCAAAGAATATATAGTATTATATTAATATTAAATTAAAATTAGTTATTATTTATTTTATTTATAACTAACTAATTAATTAATTATATAAAAAATAAATTTTTTATCTTTATATATATTTAATATAAAATATTTTAAGTTATATATTTATTTAATATAAAATACATTTAGATAAAAAAGATAAAAGAAAAAATAAAAAGAATGAGATTGTTACAAAAGCAAAGAAAATAAAAAACAGTAAAATTAACATATGTAAGTGAGGTTTTACTTGCTCAATAGGTTAATTGTTTTTATTAAAAATAAGATAAAAATGTAATTATTAACATATTAATAATTAACATGTAAATTTATTTTATTTTATATCTATCAAACTGCCCTACAAGTTTATTAATAAATTCAATAAATTACAAGTTTGTAAATAAACTATATATTAATTTTATCTAACATATAGCCAATGTACTGGCTCTCTTTTTTTGTGTAGTTTTTTACTGAGATTTTATGAACATTGAGGTAGATATCACACGAAGGTGGCACAAGTTCAAGTCCATGCTGTTCAGGCCACAAAACTCCTAAATAAAAAATGTTATGGCCCAAAAATTAATAGGACCCTATGGGCCCTATAAGCTCAAATCAGTGGTTTTACTACCTCAAAATCACTCCCAAATGTTGACCCAAAAAAGGAAATAATTTCCAAATAGCATGCAGAGACTTGACCTACTTAAAAGCATATGAAGAAAGGGGATCACGCCCGTATGAAGAAAAGGGAGACAACATAGATAAACAAGAAAGTTAGAGCTTTAAATAAAAAAGATTACTATTCTTGTTCGTGTGATGGGGAAAGAACAGAACCATAATAATTAATAAGTAACTTTCGAGGTTTGGTGAAACACAAAAAGTATGATATAATTGAACCATCAATGTCAATGCTGAATGTTACAACTAACCAACATAATTGTCCTGCACAGTAAAGAAAAACATGTTACCAAATAACAACCTCAGACAATAAACTACAGATAAACTAGAACAAACAATTAGGCTATGACCTATGAAAAGAACATAAAAGAAGGCATTTTGAAGATGAAACATCATTTATTCCATGCTCTTCACTATATCATATGGGTCATTGGGTTGCTTGACTATGCACTCTGTGTCAAACTTCGGAAAAAATGGATATCATACACAGAAAATGCAAATTCTATAGGAACCATGACAATAAAGACATCTTCTAGAGCTTTAAAGAAACTAACTGAAGGCATGTATTATCAATTAAACAGGTCATCTGAAAAACAAAAAATAAGATCCAAGTGAAAGCACAGAGACCGAATAAAGCAAATCACATCACAAGAGGTGTGACAAATCAAGTTATCTAAGTCTAAAAGTATACAGAAAGAAAGGAAAACAAAAGAAATAAAAGAATACCACTTGATTGGATCACTGCAGGTTTTCTGTTGAAATTCATTCTTATTTACTTATTTTTCTTGTTACAATGGTCAGGTTGAGCCCATCTATTTTATCTTTTGTACTGCAAGTTGTACAGGTAATTTATGATTCAGTAAAATGTTGCATTCAAGCTTTTTATTTAGGATGTGTATGAATTTTATATGTTTAAGGGGGTGGAGTTCACAATGAGCAGCAATACATTGGCTAGATTTACGGTTCATATTCAACTGTGCTTAAGATAATACCATGGCACTTTGCTTTTAGTTGTGTCAGCTCAACTATACTTGGAAGGTATCAGATCTGTACTTTCTCCACAATTATCTTTTTTTCTCCTAGCTTCCAGGAATCATCTATTTGATTTCTTTGCTAAACAAATCCCTGTGAAAATTTGCAAGGAAATAGTTTGCATCGATGCTTTTTATTTATCTCCTTATAAATAATGTTGGTCTTCATCATGGAATTCAAGGCAATAAAAAAATGATGAAATATTGCTCTTTGTATCTCTAATTTGTTATGCTAAACTTCAATTGGATGTGTGATAAGATAACAGGTTAAAGCATTGATGGACGAATCTTGAATTTCTCTACTCAATTTTGTCTCATCTAATGATTAAATCTCCTGTTAAACATTTCATTGATTGAATTTATGATGCCTTCTAAACTGTGTTAGACTTGCCTCCCTCTGAAGTCTCCAAGTAGCTGGTATTTCATTGTCATATTTCATTTTCAACTCTTGTAAACAGGAAACAATAGAGGCCCTCTTACAAACAAGGTGACACCAAAGGAAAATCTCATGGCTCCTGCCACTGTTTCTGCTGGAGTATTTGAATTATTTTCTTTTAAGTAATTAAAATAAATAATAAGTATTATTTTTTGTTCTTTATCTTGCTATCTGGCAACATTAGTACACAATGCATTAACAAAATCCTTATTGGATAGATCTCACTAGATTCTTGCAGGTGTCTTTTATCCTTGGTGACCTTGTGGTCTTTGAAACGCATCAATTAAATGAGGAATTTCTTTTCTGGTGCTCGTGTCAGACTACTAATTTTCTGAAACTTATCAGTTCTTTTTTGGCTACAAAAGCTTTATTATTCCATTGGCAGTTAAATTTAAGTCATATTTAAAGAAGGTAAACGAACTATAAATTGAATATTGTATAAATTCCGTTCAACTATCATGTAATTTGAGGAACATAAAGCCTCATTTACAGTGAAGATACGTGAGTTCCCGGGTTAAGTATGTCTATCTTAAACTTGGGTCACTGTAAACAACTGCAGCTACTTTTGATTAATGAATGGTACAGTACAGAGACAGAAACCATCTTGCATCAGAAGTCTAAAGTTGCTGATTGTTTGGTGTGGATGGCCTTTGCTCCATCACTATCATTTGCGTTATTAAAAGCAACACTGCCACGACTCCGTCCAATTCCAAGTTTGGGCAAACCTCTATTCAACCCGTCAAGTAGAACACAAGCTTTACACCATTTCTGGCTAGAAATATAACCGCACCGTTCACACGTTCCCTGCTCCGGCATTTTAGTTGTCGTTGATATCCTGAAATTCTCCCCTGATTTTATTATGTCAAGAATCGCCCTAGGCCTGATTCTCTCCAAATCCTTGATGAACTCGCGAGCAAAACCTCGGTATGCATTCGGAGAATAAATGCATTCTGTGGAAAAGTAGTCGAGCCTCTTGAAATAAGCATACATAACAATCTCCTTCTCGTAGGTATACTTAAAAGGCTTGCATCTGGGAATGGGGCCATCCTCACCAGTGGTGATAGAGGTGCATCTACTCAATCTAGCAACGTCTCCTCTCAACAGATTCAGGAGAACAGTCTCTGCAATATCATCTGCATTGTGACCAGTAACCACTTTATCTACTTTGAGCAAAGCAGCACCTCGATCCAGGGCCTGCCGACGGAACACGCCGCAGAAGGTGCAGTTGTTCTTCAAACCAATCAATTTCACGATCTCATCCATCGTCCATCCATACAAATCCTTGTAAGACACCACTTTCAGAGGCAGTCCGTACTGAATTTGGTTCCGATGAACAGTTTCCAGGGAGTCGTCGCGGTAGCCGGTGATGCCCTCGTCCACCGATAACAGAAACAGATGCAGACCGTAATTGTGCACGTGGTTCAGTTTCGACAACACGTAAGCCAGCACCGTGGAATCCTTGCCGCCAGAAGCACCGATTGCGACGCGCTCTCCGGGAATAAACAGCTTATTCTGAACTATGACTTGGTGAATCTCGTCCTCGAAGACGTCGTAGAAGCAGTCCCTGCAAATGTGTTGTAGCGTTTTGGGTCTCTTGAAGGAAGCTCTTCGTTGGTTGCATAGGCAGCAAAATCGCACGCCTCTTTTCTTCCCCCTTTCTTGGCCTTCCATCTTCCTTAGGGTTTTCCACACCCACCCACTCCCTCCTCTTACAATTTTATAAAAAAAGCAACGCCCAGAAAGACCATTAACCAGCCTAAATATTGTCTAAATATATGACTCAAATGTAGGAATAAAAAAAATCAAAACTTAAAACTGCTTGGAACGAGCTAGGAACCCCCCAAAAAAACCTTTTCAACAACTCATACATTTTTAATGTATTTCATTTTTTTAATATAATTGAATTTGTTAGGGAGTACAATGAGGGTACTATAATACGCATTTCGAGTTTTATAAAAACATCTGTACCTGTATATGAATAATTAGAAGTTTTAATTTTTATATTCGTGCCTTTTAGGTGTCCATACAGTACTCGTTATTATTACTCGTATTTATATAAAAATATATTTATATAATTTTATCAAACAAAAATTAAGTATAAATATAAAATAAATATTTAAATACCATAAATGTTAAATGTATTTTAATACATCAACTGTTTAAATTAAATTACTTAAAATTCATAAGTGAAATTATATATATAATTTTTAAAATCTTTTAAAATAACTAATACATAAACTTGAAAGTTCTATTATCACTATGTAAAATCTAAAAAAAAATATTAGTTAATTATTTATTATAAAATTAAAATAATATATATAGTTAAGTTATTTCAATTCTTCATACTTTCTAAATAACTGCAAATGCATATATTTTATGTTTATATATTGTTTTGGTTCAGCAATACTAATAAAAACTAGAATATACAAATACATAACAAAAAATTCAATAATTAAGCTATAAAATTAAAATTAACAAGAACATTTAATTAAATAAATATATTAATAAAGTATTTAATATCTTTATTTTCATGTTTTAGCCAACTTTCAAAATTATTAATTACACTCTTAAGAACATTTTTAGGTTATATGGGTGTAATGAAAATAATTAGAGAAAAGCTATTTTTAGATTTCTTTGAAAGAGTTATTCCACATATATTATCCATTTGTTATTACCTATATCAAAGCAAAAATTTAAAAAAAAATTATTTAATCAAAGTCAATATAATATCACATTATTTTAATCACTAAATTTTTAAACATTTTGTATATGTCATATATAAATAATTTTTTAAAAAAGTTAATCTCATATCAATCATGTAATAATTAAATTGTATTAGTTTAGTTAAACAATATAAATAATAAATAATTTTTTTATTAAAATATAAAAAAATTATTTTTATGGTTTATTTTATTGATAAATATATTTTTATGTTAACCTTATAAAATAAATTTAATTAGATAGATTTTTATATTTTTAAATATGTATTTTTTATTTGAGTAACATAAATATTTATATTAAATTTCTTGACCTTTTATTTTGCATAACAAATTTTTTGAATAAATATTTATATTAAATTTCTTGACCTTTTATTTTGCATAACAAATTTTTTGAAAACATAAAATTATAAATTGAAAGATATATCTCAAAAATTCAAAATAGAAAATTATCCATTTAAAAAAATAAAATAATTATGACTTGTAAAATAACTTTGAACAGAATAAAAAATATAAAACATGAAATTATATAAAATAAATAGTAAAATCTTTATTTTGACCAAAATTTTATAAAAGCATCCACAAAAACTTTTTAAAAAATAAAAGTAGGTTAGGTTATTATTTTCTTAAATTCTTAGTTGCTTCATTGCAAATAAAAAATCATTCAAATGAGATTATATAAAATTAGAAAATAAATATAATTAGAAATATTAATAATAATTAGAATAGAGTTTTAAGCTTACTTGTTAAAGACTTACCTTTGTATGAAAGTTGTTGTACTTATTTTTTAAATTCTACAAGTAGTTATAAGTTAGACCTTTTTTTGTAAGTCACACTCCTAAAGTACAACTCTCAGATATGACAAATTGTAGAACAACTCATATGATTACATAATTATTAATAACTATAAAAGAATCTAGCCAAATATATAAATTATTAACTTTAATTATCTTCTATCATTGACTTTTAAGTTAAGGTCTCCCTCACATAATAATAATAATAATAATAATAATAATAATAATAATATATGTGAGTATGAGGTGGGTGAGCATTTAGGTACCTATACTTACACACATTTTTATTAAAATTTATGAATATTTTCTCATATTCATACCTATACCCATTATACTTTATCCATACGTATATTTTGCAACTTTTAATTAAGTATTTTACTCGTTGTCATTAGAATTTGCTGAACTGAGGTAATTTTTTTTTAATTTAAAAAGATAACACTTTTCTAAAAATAATGATTTGTAAACAAGCCAGGTGGTTAAGTTTGAGTGAGAAATTTGGATGGTTCACTGATGGATGGGGTCTTACAACCCCAAACCTGTGAGTCAGATTGTATTCTTAAACAAAGTCAGCATTGATAATCTGGCATAGATAGTGTTTGTGATTGGAATTGTTTGGACTGATGCATAATGCATAATGAATTCACGGATCATTATATTATTTGCCTCTTAATAGTGGGCCCTTCAATCAACCATTAACACTGATTATTTTTCCTTTCTCGAAGGCATGGAAAGTTTTTTAGGTTTAAACATATTTTTAATTAATTTATATTTTTGTAATATATAAATTTAATCCTTTAATTTTTCTAAATTCAGCACTTTAGGTACATATTCCCAAGAAACCAAAAATTGAAATGCGACACAAAAATAACAATTAATAACTTATTCCTTAATTATATTATTGCTAGAGACTTAAAATGATTTTAAAAAAATAGGACTAACAGTAAAAAAAATAGAATTAAATTAAAATCTCACAAAAATTCATAAACCAATAACATAATTAAGCTAATCTTTTAAAGTTTCTTGTTCCTGGCCTCTATTGAACAATGATGAAGCTATAATTTACTTCTCATAACAAGATTACAGTTTTCTTTCCATTGTATTCGCTATTTTATAAATGACAAAATTTGAATTTGAATTAAACGTGCTTTTATGTGCATGTATGTACATATACACCACAATCATTATCCTATCATAAAATGAAAGGTTTCTAACTGCAGTATTTAATTTATATTTGGATAAAATATGCTAAGAGTGCACCAAATCTTTTAAAGGAGCCAAAAACGATTCTGCAGGAGAAGCCACTCAGTTGATGATAGTGGGTTTAAGGATAAAGTAAAATAGAAGATGGAGATTGAGAGTTCTCCAAAACACTAATAAGTATTGGCCACTAATGCCTTGTAGGGAGCTTTTTTATGCTGTTGAGGTTATAAACTTTTCTAGCCTCAACAATGCTTGTTACCTTTGCCAATTATTCTTTGAGAGTCCATGGTGCTTTTCCTATTCACCAACTACTTGGAATTTTGAATTGGGAATCAATCTCAACCATTGGAAGTGTCAAATAGAAATAATCAACTAAACAAAATTTTTTTAATTATAATATATAGGAGGGTCCAACTATTGGACTATCATGATTCAATGTAGGTAGGTAATATAAGCATGCAAGTGCACAAAAGTTAGCAGAGTAATATATATTTTACATGCTATGTTAATCACAGGAGCACAAGAGACTAGTCATCACAACAAGAATAATTTCATGATCACACACAAACAGAAAGAGAATGGCTCACGGGCAGCACCAAACAAACAACAATTACAACAAAGTAAAAGTGGCCAAACAATGAGAAAAAATTAAAAGAAAACAATTTTATATGCATAAAGTGCAACCTGTCCTGTGGTTTAGATTGTTCATCTTTCTCTCTCTATTGATGTCAGTAGAAGCACCCGTGACCTCTCTCTCTGTCATTGATTCTCTGATTCAGCTTCACTTTGCAGACCCACCTATAAACAAGTACCGGCTAAGTTGTATATAAACCATGACACAAGCCAATTTATGCAGCACTTGTAATTCCAAATTACATTCCTTGCCTCATTCTTTTGCTCACAATCACATTTTCTCTGAGAATGTCAAATTTGCATTGCTTTTTCTATGTTTTAGTAGTTCTTCTTCTTCTACAGAATCCGTGTGCAACAAGATGCCACACCAAGGGAATTAGACCAAGGCCTTCTACAGGGCTATCGACCAATATAACAAAGGTCCAATTTTCAGAACAACAGTTCATGAAATGGGTTAGATTTGTGGGTGGTCTCAAACATTCTGTCTTTAGAACAGCAAAAAATAAGCTCTTCCCTTCTTACACTTTGCACGTTTCTAAGAATCATGGTAAAGGAGGTTTTTCATCAATTCAAGCAGCCATTGATTCCCTTCCATTCATCAATCTTGTGAGAGTAGTCATTAAGGTTCATGCAGGGGTTTACACGTAAGTAGTTGCTAGTATTTTATTTTTTGTTATTCCACTTGAATTCTGCCACATTCTGATCCTTTTGGTATGTGTCTTTTGTTCATGTGATGGAAGACGTGGCTTTTAGGGTTTGTCTTGTCCACGTTTATTATTATGTATTTTTGTTTTTGTTTGATGCACTACATAGGAAGGTGATAATAGCTTGGTGTCTTTTTCCTGGTGATTCAGATGCCCTGAGGATGTGATCTTTGACTAAAGAACACTTTGCAGCTAATGAACTGTCCTTTCTTTGAGCCTTGTCCCCTTTTTAAAATTTTAATAACCCTGGTCGTTTCACAACTTGCAGTTTTTCTTTATTGTTTATTACTGTAATAAATTGTGAATGCGTTTCACTGAAAATCTCTTATTTGCTCCTTGCTTTTGTGTGTGTGCGCTTTTTTTTTTTTTTTATTAATTATACAGGGAGAAAGTTAATATTCCTGCTTTGAAATCCTTCATAACGATACAAGGAGCAGGTGCAGATAAGACTATTGTTCAATGGGGTGACACTGCTCAAACTCCTGGGCCAAGAGGCCAACCACTTGGAACCTATGGTTCTGCTACTTTTGCGGTGAATTCACCTTATTTCATTGCCAAGAACATCACATTCAAAGTATGTAACATGCTAGATTCTTCTGTTTCTATCTTAATCTATCTGTGCTTTTCACAATCAAATAATGTGGATGCAGAACACTGCCCCAATTCCAGCACCTGGAGCAGTTGGAAAACAAGCAGTGGCATTGAGAATTTCAGCAGATACAGCAATATTCCTAGGCTGCAAATTCTTAGGAGCACAAGACACACTCTATGATCATGTGGGTAGGCATTACTACAAGGATTGTTATATTGAAGGCTCTGTTGATTTCATATTTGGCAATGCTCTCTCTCTATTTGAGGTTAGATTTTCTCTCCGTAATTTTACAGCTGTAATCTGGATTATTGCTGCTAAATAATCTAAGGACGTGTACTTATAAATGAGTATAATCTAACCAATTTTGTCCCACATTATTCAATACATTAACCTCAAATGGAATCTAATTCATTCCTTCCCTCTATCCATTCGATTCATGTTGTTTTCAAATTAAAAAATGAAAAATTGTTTTGATTAATAATCTTAGACATGTGGTACCCTCATGATTTAGTTATCACTCATTTGTCCTAAGGAGAATGGTTTGGTAACACGTGGAACCGAAAATTCACCTAACTTGTCTTGTAATTACGTTGGCAACACTTACTAGGGATGTCACGTGCATGCCATAGCACAACTTACAGGGGCCGTAACAGCACAAGGCAGGAACAGTTTATTAGAAGACACGGGTTTCTCGTTTGTCCACTGTAAGGTCACGGGTTCAGGGGCACTTTACCTTGGAAGGGCTTGGGGTTCCTTTTCTCGCGTTGTCTTTGCTTACACTTACATGGACAATATCATCATTCCCAAAGGATGGTATAATTGGGGTGATCCTAACCGTGAAATGTAAGTTCATCTCTTTTTCTCCATCTCTCTCATTGCCACATGCATATACTATGTAGACACACGTCCCATCGCATATTGCTCCTTACAAGTTTTTACTCTTATTTTTCAATCAAAATTTAATTGCATATTATCAAAACTCTCGCCAATAGTTCACTGAATCAGCAGAGTTGGGTTAAAACTTTAAATCATCAAAATGGCCAAGATGAAATTGCAATAACGTGAGCAAAGGAAAAGGGCTAGTTTAAATTTATGCAAACCCAAAATGAATTGAATTACTCTGTTTAGCTAACAGGTCGAGTTGCCACATTGTCATTGAAAAATAGTTCCCGAATAAATTTTATTCACCAGTGTCATTTCTCTCACTGAGGGAAAGTACATTGTGTTGCCCTGAAAGATTATGTTTTGTTGTTCTGTTCTGAATTACCTTCTCTCTGTTACAATCCCTTTTGCACTAGCAGGGGACACAGTGTTTGTTATTTTGCCCTTTATCCGGAGAATTTCACACTTCACAGATCATAAACAGCCTCCAACAATCCTCAATGCTTTTATGCTAAGTGACAAACATACGCACTTAGAGTCAATCTCTATTATCACTCTCCATCATACCTAAGAATGAGTCTATTCTCTCATGACAGAATAAGGGCATGTTGGGTATATCCATTTCACTTATATTACTCACACTACACTTTTTAATAACAATTTCTACAATACTGTTTTTTACTTTCTATTTCTCTCAATCACATCAATCATTTTGTCTCATTCTCTCTTTAATAAATAAAATAATACAAAAGACTTGTATAATTATAATTTCTCTATCTAGGTAGAATAATGTGCAGCCAAGAAAAGAAAAGATTCAATTTTATAAGGATTCCCACTCTAGCTATTTCTCCTCTTGTGTAGTGCAAATCTACGTGTTGTGCTCATGAACCTTCCAAAACTCAAAAATGCTAGAAAAATGAAGTTTCTGAAGAATAAGAGTAGTAGCACTTTTAAGGAAGAGGGTAGGTGAATATAGGGAGAATCCTGCCACCATACTACAAGTTGCTACATTTGGTTACATAGATAATCAAAGCAGCATGCGCATAGGGTCTGAAAAGATCCTCGGGTGTCAACCACCTAATCCCATGTATTGATCTATGCTATATCGTTATTTGGTATAAATTCATAGACATGTTGGCATGCGCATGTGAGTGCGTTTCTAATATGTTGCCATGTTTTTGTATTCTTGTTGGGTCCACCAGGACTGTATTCTATGGACAGTACAAATGCACAGGACCAGGAGCAAGCTATGCGGGGAGAGTATCGTGGTCAAGAGAACTCACTGATGAGGAAGCTAAGCCATTTATTTCACTTAGCTATATTGATGGCTCTGAATGGATCAATATTTCTTTTTGATTTGAGAGAAAATTAGCTTCAATTTATTTGGTGACAAAATTTTGATGTATAAATATATATATATATATATATATATATTACAATTTGATAGTGCTTATCAGATTCCTCAATCCCCGTTGCTTCACTTAGGAATCACAACTCATTTTAGTTAACACTTGGCAGTTCTCAGCTGCTTCGCTTTATTTTATTTTATTACCTTTTTTTGTTAGTGAAAGTTGAGACTAACGGAAGCTTTGAAATCTCTATAGATACGGACAAGAGTTTATAAAAGTTAATGACAATTCTAACTTTACAACTTAACTTTTCAGGTTTACAAACTTAATTTAACACGTTATCAAAGTCAAAATATGCAGCCACTTCGGTTTTATTTTTTTCCTTTTAGTTTTTAATAGTGAAAGCGGGGACTAAGGGAGGAACCACAATATCATTACACTTTGATGGTCTCAGCCCCGGGTTGTGATTGCTTAAGGTTATAGCTAACCAATAAGTGATGCATCATTAAGATGGTGGTGGGATAGTTTCACTTGCTATGCACAAACCACCATGAAATTTCTTACAAAAGGTGCTACTGTTACCACAATCACTATAATTGTGAATTGTAGCTTGTGTGATGAATGAGAAAGCTTCCACCGCTGTTTCATAAAATCGTCTTTGCTGGTTAATTATCAATGCGAGTAATCTTAGCATCATGTTCTTTAACATACAACTAACAATAGCATTTCTCTTATCAATATTATCTGGTGCCTATTATCGTTGAGTGTGCTCTATTAGCTAATTTTTACCACTTGTTTAGAAAAGAAAACAAAACTGTGTAGCATACTATCTATATGATATTCCGTATTTTGTTTGCTTTCCCATACTTTCATAATTTATTACACTTGTGAAATTTATAACATATTAGCATATACAATATCTAAAAGAGTGAGTATAAACATAAACATAAAATGATAAAATCCTTTTCACTGAAAAAAAAAATGACGTAAATTTCGTGTAATGAGATTTTTATTTTTGTGACTTATTGGGGTTCGTTTGTAGTTTGTAGTGGCATCGTCACGCCCCATAAATTTTTTATAGTAAACGCACTCTCGACCCAAAAAATAAAAATAGACGCACTCCTTAACCCGAAAAAGAAGGTCCTTAAAAACCAAAAAAACAACAATTCAAACGCTGTCGTTGCTTGTGCCATTTTGGGTTACAAAATGCATCAGAAAGTCAAACAACTTAACTTGTTTTTCTTTTTCATATTGGGTTCTTAAATTTTATTTTTACTTGCTTTAAATTATTAAAAATTACTACAATTAAAAAATATGAAGAAAACTTTCTATAATTTGATTTGATTTAAGTTTTAAATATTATTTTAACAAATATATTATAACATTAATTCAACTTTGTGTATAAAAAATGTATCAAAACGTAAGTTTGTTGGATCAATACATTCTTTTTTGAAAAAAATAGCATTCTTTACTCATAATAAATCTATCCAAAATCTTGTTCCTTTCTTTTTTTTCTTTTTTTATTTTGTTCGCTATAAATAAAGAATTTAATTTTAATATATTGTTTAATGTAAACAATTTTATATTCAACAATTAAATAATAGTATTATTATTTTTTACTATATTAGTATATTTTAATTAAATTGATATCTCACCTACTCAGTTAATTCAACTTTTAACACATCAATTGTTGGTTGAATCTCTTTTTTTTTCCCATGTTTGTAATTTTTATTTCTATTTCTTATAGTTTCTTAACTTTTAATTAAACCATTTTTTCTCCCTTATGAATTTGACTTCTATACTAGAAGCCTTTTACAAAAAAAAAAAGAGTGATAGAATCATAAATATTTTCTCTTAATCTTCTCCACAAGACTCTCCTTATTATCCAAAATTAGAAAGTGTGGTGGATCAATAGTCTAACTTTTGATATTATTTTTCCCTATTTGCTATCTTCAATTGCTTTGTGCTTTTTCAAAATTACATAGTTTTAAACTTGAAAAAATTACTGAAGAGTTAAACTAATAAAAACAATATACATATATAGAGAGAGAGAGAGATTCCTTGCCATATCTTACAAGATAAAGTACAAGTGAAAGTGACTGGTGTTCCCCGGCTGAGAGCCGCAAATACCAACACATCAAGGGTTCCAAACTCTTCCAAAAAATGATCTAGCTGTAGAGAAAAGAATTATGTAAAACCAAGTTCATGAGAAAACAGCATGCAAAACTAGTAGAGAAGATCCCATCAGAATTACCAGTCCAAACCCAGATGTCATTTCTGTCTTCTGCAACAATTCATCAAAATGGATTTCCTTCCAAGCAAAATTTATGCCAAAAATGTGTTCATAACAATCTTTTTATTAAAAAAGAAGTTACTTTCAATTTCTTAATTAATATCTTTAAAATACTTATTAAGGTTTATAAGAATAATAAATAAATATTTGTATCAAAAGGTAATATTTAATATTACAAATATACATTTACTGTAATCTTTAATTTAAAAGTATTTATTAATTGTTAAACATTGCCTTGATCCATTCCTACTAATATGTATTCTCCTGAGAAAAAGAAAACACATGAAAATGACAGCACAATTTTTGGGATTATCCAAGCAACATGCATAAACAAGAAGGCATATCCATACCCCCCACCGTTCAAAATTCAAAACAACAAAAAAAAAACAAAAGAAATTGAAGATGCGATAGCAGCAAGGAAACGTCAAATTATAGTACGCGTTATGCATCAGAAGAGGTAAACAGTGTTACCTGACATTCAAGGTTGCCCCACTGTGAGTGTCAATCTACTAAAATTCCCAATCAGTCATTATTAACTAACTGTAGCTGTGACTTCAACAAGTTTAACTCACCGAAAGTATCCTCTGCAGTCATTATATTAACTGCACATTGTGCGGTTTAAATCTTACTGTCATGATTGGTATTAATAACTATAACGAAATTTTTCGCAAAAACTTTACATAGAAGCAAGTCTTGAACTGAAAAAATGGTTGCAAAACAATCGTTGTAGCTCCGTTGTGAGGCATTCGTGATCTCTACGATATGACAACAAAATTTACTTGATTATCCAGAAGCTTTCCGTCGTATAAATGGCTGTCGCTTCACATTTTAGGGGTACCTACACTCTCGGTTTACAACTTCTGTACGTTTAGATGCAAGTTAAACTATTATAAGATGAGGCAGGATATTCTTGCCACTAGTGGAAGTACCAAACTTTTACACCTAATTTTAATAATTCACCTAATTTAATTTATATTTAACAGTTACACTTTATAACACTATTTAACTTACACTTAATATTTTTCTTCAATTATTATGTCTTTTTCTATTATCCATATTTCAAACAATACAAAGTAATACTTTGATAATAAATCTACATAAATAATATAACTTATTAATTTATTGATATTTTATTTTATAAAAAATATATAAATAATTTAATAATCAAAAAATAAAATTTTATATTTTATAAATAATTATATATAATTTAATATTGAGTAATAGGCTATACTCATTTGACCTTTAGCCTAATTCAACCTAATCTATTTTCATCATTAAAACTACTCTTTTACACTTTGTATATATTTAAAATTAAAATTAATTAATATTGATGTAAAAATTATATTTTCTCTTGTTGTAATTTTTTTTAATCTTTTACTTAAATATTTTTTAAAATGTAGAGATAAAATTTGTTATTTATTTTTCTCTTAAAATTTTATATATTTTTATAAATATTTATTTTATATTTATAAAAAATATTTTATTTTATTTTAAATTAGAAATATTATTCAAATTACTCTTCTATAATTTGTACATGTTGAAATTAATTAAGGTGAATTACACTATCTTTTACTGTTATAATTTTATTTCTTTATTTAATTATATTTCAATTTTTAAAATTAAATATTGTTACTTATTTTTTATTTTTTTTACAAATTTTTATTTTTATAAATATCTATTTTTATATTTAAAAAAATATTTTAAATTTAAATATTTATTAATAGTTTTATTTCTTAAATTTATGATTATCAATATATACTAAATATTTTTACACTAAATAATAAAAATATTATTTTAAATAAATTATATTTTAAATTTAATAAATTTATTAAATATTTATAATTTTAAACATACTATTTGTAATTACAAAATTATATTAAATTATTTTTAAATTATTATTTAAAATAATTTTATTATATATAATTATTTATAAAATATAAAATTTTATTTTTTATTATTAAATTATTTTTCTATTTTTTATAAAATAAAATACCAATAAATTAATAAGTCATATTATTTGTGTAAGTTTATTACAAAAGTGTTAGCTTGTGTTGTTTGAAGTAAAATACGAGTAATAAGAAAAGACAGAGTATCAGAAGAGAGAAATAAAAAGTAGAAAAGAGAGAAATAAAAAGTAAGAGTAGTGAAATAATAAATTATAACACATTAAATAAGGTTAGTAAAAGAGAAAAATTAAGTATAAGTCAAATAGTATTATAAAGTATAGTCACTAAATAAATTAGATGAATGGTTAAGATTGAATGTAAGAGTTTTGGACTTATATTGATGTAAGAAAATCATGTCTCTTATAAAATTATGTTTATTCAATTTTAATGTAATCTGTAAAAAAAATTTATATTTAATTACTTTTAATTGAAATTCATTTTACTTTGAAATTCACGTTTGGATTAATTTAATAAATTATAATTATCAAGTTAAATTTAAAATATACCATTTTTTATTGTAAATTTACTTTTAAATATTTTTTAAATATAAATTATATCAATTTAAATTAATTTTAAAAAAATTCATTAACATTTAAATTTATAATGGTCTATCAAAGAGAATACAAGTTACAATAAAAAAAATATTTTGTTTTTCAATGTTAAGAATAGAATAAAATATTATGAGTGAAAATGAAAATAAAAAATATAACTCATTAATAATTTGAGTAAAAAATTTGGAAGTGACATGACAAAAAAAAAAGTCCTCCTATTAAAGGAAGGAGGTAGTTGTGAAATAAATCATAAGCTCCCAAGAGTAATAAAGAATAATATATAAAAAAAATAAAGTAATCATTGTAGGAGAGCGAGCTCCTAAATCATTAAATAAAAATTGAGATGTTAAACATAGACCACCAATGCTAAAAAGAGATTTATATGTAGAAAAAATTATATAAAAACACTCTTTTAAAAATAAAGATATACTGTTTTAATTTTTTTTATTAAAGAGATATGATGTCTAGAAGTGGAAAGAAAAATGTTAAACTACAGAGAAAAATAATATAAAAAAATATTAAAGATATCAAATGTTAAACTATGAAAATACAAATCACCATTATTGATTGTTGTGTTAATTGAAAACTAAGTTACAATAAATTAGATAAAGAACAAATAATATAAAATAAGGAAGAGGCAATGGAATAAATTATAAGCGCTCAACAGTGATATGAACAAGATATCCAAAAAATAAATAAAGGAACCATTGTAGTAGAGTAAACTCTTAAATTATTAAACAAAAATTGAAATATTAAACATGAATCATCAATGTTAAAGAATAATTCATATGTAAACAAGATGTGTAGAAATACTCTTTCAAAATTAGACACATGTTGCCTCAATTTTCTTTGTTTATCTATAAGTAAGAAGAAAAATGTCAAACTATAAATAAAAATAACATCAAAAAATGATTAAAGATATCATATGTAAAACTATAAAAGTAAGGATCACTATTATTGATTGTTGTGTTAGGGTTTAAAATTCCCCTTATGTGAAAAATAAGTAACAATATACTATATAAAAAATAAATAATAAAATAAGGAAGAAACTCATTCTTCTAAAAAAAGCCTCTTAATTCCTATTTTGTAGTATTTTATAAATGTACAAATCTAACCTTGTAATAATTTTGGTTTTGAAAAACCCAGAGAGTAGAATAGATATTGAGTCCTATTGTTCTAACTTCTAACTTCTGGCAGCATTCTTCTTAGACCCTTTTATTTTATCTCCTCTTTTTAGCATAATTTTGTTGTTCTAAGCTCCTACATCCGTATTCTCTCTTAAAATCCTGTTTGAACTGAGGTTTTATTTTATGTCACAAAAAAAGCTCAAGTACATTGAATAAATAAAAACTAATTGCTCTTGCATTTGATTGTAATGACAATATAAGAAGATAATTTCATGACCAAATTTTTGGCAAGTTACAACGGGGACCTTCTCATGTTCTCCTTCTATTTTGTCTTGACTCCCCTGTTTGCTACCCACTACACGTCTGCAAATTTCCAATCATGGGCGCAGAAGGAAATAGAGCTATTACTAACAAAGTGAAAAGGCAAAAGAAAGCAAGCTCTCATATAAATGCCTCAATAAAGTTCCACTAATCACCACCTCCTCTGGTTGTAGAAGCTCTTATCTGTTTCCCTTCCAAGTTCTGTGGACTTGTCCAGCTTACTCATAACAGCATTCTTAAAATTAATAGCCTCTTGAATCTGAGAGCAAGACCTTTGCATTCGAAGCCCACTTAAACTACTTCTAGACTCCATCATCTCATTCAGGGAAAGCCTCTTCTTTGGACCCGGATCAGGGCGTTGCTTTGGAGCACTATGAGACCTCAATTTGGCCTTAAAAGACTGAGTGTTGGCCATGTAGTTTGGACAACTACCATACTGCCCAACCAACAAGTTATCAGTGCAAACACTTTTAGGTGTCACGGCTGCAACAACAGACCCACAACTACAAGAATTGGTGAAGCGTGGAGTGCTATGTGCTGTTGAGAATATGCACTCTTCTCCTGTTAAGCCCCAATCTGTGTCGTGGAAATTCCTGTTGTCTGGTATGGATAAGTGAGCTGGGGTACGACATTGAATTGGAAGAGGAGAAGCAAATATTTGAAATGATGGGTCATCGCCAAAATCTGACATTGAGGTGTTACTCCTACGAGACCTTGACTTTGGCCTCCCTGTGTCCACTTCCACTATTTTTGGGCTCCCATCAACACTATTCATTGTAGCATCAAAAGATGATGATAGCCTCCTACTATGTATGGCAGCTATGTGCTCACTCCTAGTGTCATCAAACCTCTCCTGCAAAACATTTCACATAATAATCACCACCACATGTTTAGAATCACTTATTTTAAAGAAAAAATAAATTGTTTTTAAGATATGTATGTATTATGTACCATGGTTCTTCGTGCTTGTGTTTGAAACCTATGTGCTTCATTTTTTGTGTTGGTGAGTCCACGAGATTTCTTGGACCTCACTGTTGCTTGAGCTCTAATTAGAGCCTGCATGCTATGCAGTGTTGCTGCTGCTTGCTTCCGCACAAAGTACCCTCTCACAAGTGCTTGTAACTTCACCAATCCTTTTAGGGCTCTCAAAGCCTTCCTTGCCTAATTAAAAATCCATGTCAATTTTATCATGCCACAATAAAAAGTTAAACAATCTAAACACTTTATGCATAAATTATATCTATTTTTAATCTAACTGAAAGCTAATTAATTAAAAGCATAACATATGCATCTGACTAGTTTCAATTTGAGCCAAAACCAGTTTTGTTCTGTTCTGTTTTGTCTCTTAAATTTGGAGAAAGGAAAATTTACCAAGTATCCTCTGAACACAGTTTGAATCTTGACAACAGCCAACCTCTCTTGTCCCCCACCAAACATGTTGTCGTCTCTGCCATTGCCATGGCTGGTTAGCCTAACCACTGCCACGGCAGCCTGAGCAGCAGCCACTGCAGCGTCTGCGGCAGCTGCGGTGGCTGCTGCAACTGCAATGGCATGCTTGTTCTGCTCTTTCTCTGTTTCTGAGTAGAAGGATTGTAGCCAAGCAGCCTCTGCAGGCGAAATATTGGGTGGTATGGTGGCTGGATTGTGACATAAGCCTTTGGAATCTCTCTCAGAGTGACACCATTTGGTGCCACAATTTGAATTTGAATTCTCTTTGGGTTCTTTGTCTCTCTTTATCCCAAACAAGCTCTTCAACCACTTGGTGGCCCTCCCCATTGGCTGCGTGTGGAAAATGCTACTGAGGTGTTCGAATGGTGTAAATGTGAACGGTGCAAGTGAAACCTACAAAAAACCCAGTCATCGACACAGTTTTTTAAGACAAAAGAAAATGCAACGCCTCGTGAAAATCTGCATTACATGACAAAAACATCCCTCTGGAACATGCAGAAGGCATGGTAAGCTAAATCAAACAACATTAAAATAATGGAATATAAAATAAAGAGAGCTTTACATTGCGGTGTTGGGGTTCACATTACATATATTATAAACTAAAGTGCATTTTTAGATTCACATTTAAATTCTCGTAAATACACGTTTATTTCAGTGATTTTTGAATTAGATTAAAATTTAAAAGAGTTTTACATATTTCCTAACACGCTCAATATAAAAATTACAAGTAATTGAAGTAAATTTAGATATATCATTCAAAACATGATTTCAAGCACACTAACAAAGTTAAAACGTAAACAGAGGGGGTTTGTAGTAAAATAATGTAACCAAACACAACCCAACACACCTAGGTAGAATGAAATTCTCGAAAGGAAAAAGCGGTTGAAAAGAAGGAAAAGGAAAAGGGAAGCCCCAAAAATTTGCACTGATCCAAAGGGGGAAGTGAGAAGAAAAAGATGGGAGAGAAGAGAACAAGCTCACAGTGAAATCTCTATCTGCATCTGTCCCTTGTAACTTTGTGGAGCGACGTGTCCTCAAAAAGAACGATACCTCAGTGTCCTAAAATGTCTGACACACTCGTGAAGGGCTTCCTAATTTATACAACCTTCTTCCCTCTGTCACGTATCAACCTCCGCAACTGTTTTACCCTCCCTTCCTCTTTAGTTTAACTTCTACCCAATCAATGAAGCAGTGTCTTTCATTCTATTTTATCAGCTCTCTCTTCAGCTTCAATCCAACAAACGGGGTTCTTCACTCCTAAAAAGAAACCGAATAATGCATCCTTCTTCTGCATGTTCAGCATTAAAGCTGACCCAATAAAACATGTAGCTTTAGTTTAATAAATTTTGTTCTTTTTCTTTTCCTCACCTAACAGCTACCTATGCTGTTCTCTTCTCTGCAAACCCTTTCTCTTTCATTGTTATGTTTTACTGTTTCCTCAATTATTTGTGTACTAATTCTACCTCTGCTGTTTGTTTTTACTCTCTTTTCTGCAACTTAGAAATCATAGGCTCCTGTCTCTGCTAACATCTTTTGCTTAGATGATCAATTGCAATGGTTTATGACTTTCTGCCTGTCAATAATCGTTCAACATTTGAATTATATTTACCGTGACTTCGAATATTTACCAAACAATTATCGAAACTTTTCTTACTCAAAATTAAAAATACACACTTAGGTGTACTAGGCTTCCAGTACTTTGATGACTGGAACGGATCAGATGAAAACAAAATTTCCCTGAGCACGTCGCTATTTACGATTATTGCGCCATTTTGTAATGTAGTAAGCACATCAAATACTCCGCAATTCAGAGTTAAAGACGATGTTGGGGCGAAATTTTATATTTTCAAAGTGCAAACACATTAATGAAGGAAAACACCATATATCAAAATTTTCAAATCAACTTCAGAAAGTAAAGTATTTGAAGGTAAAATAATAATTGTTTCAATACAAATTTTCGTAAATGCAATTTTTTACCCCTATAAATTATCCGATTTAAGTTTAGATTTTATTTTGTTTCTAGTTTATATAATTTTATTCTATTTAATTTTGGTTCTTCCACTATACTCGATATAGATTCAAATGATTGTACCTCATGGATTATGGCTTTTAACATATTGTTAGTGGTGAAAAACAAAAATAAAAACTAAAATTAAGGACTTTTTATGTTATAGTTTTTCAAGAATGTGTTCCTATTCAAAAAATAAAAGACATTTAAAGTTGTTTGAATAATTGGTCTGGACTCTGTTTTAAAAGTTATTCTCAGAACACCAGTTAAAAAAATTAAAATAAAACACAAACAATTGTAAGATTTTTTTTCAATACTGTTGCCAATCCTCACCAAAGTCCGGTGGTAAAACAGTAATAAAGAATATTTATTAATAATGTTTTTATAATAAAATAATATGTTAAAATAGAGACAAAACATTCCTTCAAATAAGTTTTCTTTTCATTTTGTTTTTTAAAAACACATCTAAAATTTGTTTTAAAAACAAATATTGATAACTTAAAGTATAAAATTATTTCAAACAAGCTCTAAAATTTTAAAATATATGGATAAAAATACAAGGGCTTGATTGGTTTCCCGTTCTACATCCTTTAAACCCCATTTCAATAAATTGATTTTTTTTTACCGTGACTCAACTTACATAAAATATTTGGAATGGAGATTGAAAATTCTAAGGGATTATTTGGATAGGGTAATTTTAAGAGGACAAAACTGAGAGAGTAATTTTGTTTTTTTAAAAAAATTCCTTATTTGGATGCTCTGTTTTATAGTGAAATGGAATCTACAATTTCCCCCTCCTTAGCTGTGATTTAAACAGTGAAATTGGGGTTATTTTTTACTTTAGTGTTAAATATTTTTAAAAAAATAGAAGTATATTTGTTAGGAAATTAACTACAAATGTTTTATTAAAATTTTTAAATTTATTATTAAATTAAAATTTTCAGTGTTATCAAAGAAAAAATTATACAAATTAGTTTTTTGCACTTTTTTAATTATCTAAATAGGTAAAGATTTTTGTTTTCTATTTTTTTCATTTATTTTTAGTCATTCAATTTTTTTTTATTCTCTCAATTTTATCTTTCCATCCAAAGCAAACAGACACAAAATTTATGGAATATTTAAAACATAACACTTTTCTTAATGAAATATTGAGGTCAGAATATTAAAAAAATTGAAACATTCGAAGCTTAATATTTATGCAATTTTGGAAATTGCACATTTTTCATGACTTTTTCTTTCTTTACAAATTCTTATACATAATAATTTTATTTTATAATATTTTTATGTAATAATATTAATTTATGCAACTTTTATTAACAATTAACAGAAAAGTAATAACAAAGATAAGTGTAAAAAAGATAAAAAAAAATGCAAGAGAGATAAAAAAAAAAACTTGTATAAAATAGAAATAAACTTTTGTATAAAACATATTAGTAGAAAAAGAAATTATTTTTGTTAGTTAAAAATAACTTCTATCATTGGTTGATGAACCCATGTAAATATAAACGATGCAATAAGTAAAAATATTTTAATTAATTAATTAACTGATATAAAAAGTGTTCTTTTTGTTCATATTAGTCAATGACATCTATCTAACAATCTAACAAATAATTTTTTAATAATATTAATATAAATAGTATTAATATTATTAATATTTATTCAAGATTTAATCTTTATTAAGTTTATAAATAGAAAATATATAGTGTTCATTAATCTTATATACCAATAAGTTAAAAAAAAACATAAAATAAAATAATATAAAATTACTAATATACCTCATAGGAGTTCAAGTTCATTAATAGCATAGTTAATAATATTAACAGAAATTTGAAAATATAAGTAAAAATTTGTAATAGCCATAAATTCTAATAGAAATTTAAAAATATAATAAAAATTTATATTTATTGTATACGAATTATGTTATTTTACTTGAATACGTCTTTATAGTTGTATATTTTATATCTGTTACAAAAATATTCCTTTAAAAATTACTTTTTATATTAGTTATTTAACAACAAATTTAAAAAGTTCTGCAATTTTTTTATCTTTAGTAGTTGTAAATTTTAAAGAGCTATAATTTTTAGCATAGATAATAATTAAAAATAACAATTAATAAATATGAATATAGTTTTAAAAATTTATTAAGTTTATGTTTACATTTAAAACAAAAGAAAACTTAAAGCACTTAGTTATATTCTAAATTTAGTAAATTTATTTGAGGCAAGTTGGTTGAGCCGATTGGATTTGTCATCCCCGACCCATGACCCATGGTACAAGCCTATCACAGCACTGTTACCAGCTCAGTCTTTCCAAATTAGAACAAGGGTTGTTATACATTGGTCTGATGTCACTTAGTGAAATATTTAAAAAGAAAAACATAAACAATGTAGAAGCATGCAAAAATTAATTTGTTCCTTAATTTAGATAAAGTTGGTATGATTACATGTCCATCAAAGCATTGCTCCTTGTTTCACCTATGAGAATTGATGATGACCTTTTGAATTTCTAATTTAGTTGAAAACAGTGTAGGAAGTAGGTGCCCATCATCAAAACCCTCACAATAATGGCAATTAGGAGCATATTCTTTGTTTAGGAATAATCTAGACCACTCCTAACAATATTATGTGAAATGAGTTTTTCATGTCCACATCTCATTAATGTTCTCCCTAACATTATTCCTCATTTCATTTCCTTTTTGAAGCTCCCACAAACCAGTTAGCAAAAATTTCTTACCAGTTTTCATTGCCATATTTTTTCCCTTACATTGTTGTCCCTTTCTTGTCCTCTTAATTTGTTTTTATATTTCGGATTAATAACAAAACTTTCATTAATTTAACAATGATCATGCATGTTGAGTCGCAAGTAAAACACAGGTAGAGTAAGGATATGTTTGAATTATTTTTTAACTCGTGACAATTTTTTCATTTGATTTTTAACAAATATTTGTTAAGAATTTTAAACTATCTGTAAAAGTACATGCGTAAATTTAATTTGCAAGCCTTGTATTGATTTTGGAGCATAACAACCAGATTTGAATACAGGGTAGAAATAAGCAGTATTGGCTAAAATTTTAATAAGGATTTGGTTTGATTTATGTTTAAATTATAAGGCTTAAGTTTTATATATTCATTTGTTATGAGTTTTTTTCAAGTTTAGTTTAACTTGTTAAAAATTATAAAATAACCTCTTAAATATATTGTAAAATAGCTATACATTTGTCTGTTTATATATTTGTGCATTAATTTGCTAACAAATAAAATTTGAAAAACAAAAAATAACTGTGATATTACAAATTTTTTTTTTTATTCAAAATTATAGA